CCTCTCACCTCGGTCCCCCGTGTGACTGCACATCACCCTGTCCCCTCTCACCTGGGTCCCCATGTGACTGCACACCACCCTGTCCCCTCTCACCTGGGTCCCCCATGTGACTCTGCATACCACCCTATCCCCTCTCACTTGGGTCCCCCATGTGACTCTGCACACCCTGTCCCCTCTCACCTGGGTCCCCCGTGTGACTGCACACCACCCTGTCCCCTGTCACCTGGACCCCCCTCCTCTGCGAGACTCTGCACACCACCCTGTCTCCTTCACCTGGGTCCCCGTGTGACTCTGCACACCACCCTGTCTCCTTCACCTGGACCCCCTGGTGTGGTGAGGCCAGAGACCTGGTAGATGGCCCCGTGGGCAGTGCACATGTTCCTGAGGAAGACGGCTCGCTTCCGGGAAGAGGGCTGGACCCGGCATGACTCCCTCAGTGCCGACGCCCGAGCCCGTGGAGGCCAAGCGGCCCTGAGCAGCCTGAGCAGAGCCCCCACTCCTCAGGACGCGTGTCGTCGTCGGCTTGCTGCCACCGCTGGGTCGTGGTTGTTGGGGTCCCTGTGTTTTGACCTGTCTGGAGAGTGCCCAGCAGAGCCCTCTGATGTAATAACCCTCGTGGTTGTCGTGTCTTTGCTGCAGGGCATCGTGGGGAACTTGGCCAGTGGCAAGTCCGCCCTGGTGCACCGGTACCTGACGGGCACATACGTCCAGGAGGAGTCTCCGGAAGGTATGCCGTTGGGCGGGTGGTTAGTTACAGGCTTTAGGGAGTTTAGGCTCTTGATGTTTTTCTTTAGCATATTCTAAATCATTGCTTTGACCTGTCACATGCCAAGAAACACCACGCAGTAAAGACCCTGGCGCATGCAGTTCCTCCCGTAGGGACTGAGGGCCGGTTACGCGCTCTCTGGCCTTGGGAGCACTGGAGTAGAACCGAGAGAAGCTGCTGAATGTGTTTCCGTCTAACGGTCCTGTCCTTGGAGGCGCTGGTCCAGTGCTCCTTCTTTAAATATGGGCTGGACGTGGTCCACTCTGGGGGTGGAGTCCCTGCCGACTCTGACCTGGTGCTCTCAGCCTCGCTGCCAGCTTCTAGATGAGTCCTCCAGGCCCCCCACCCCGCGCTGGAGCAGGCGTCTCCCCGCAGAGTGCCATTGCCCACTGAGCGAGGCATTTCTCCTGCCATTAGACGTTTCCTTCTTCTGTTAACATGTCCACGTATTATCCTTTGCTTTAAATGACAATGGCAAAGGCAGGAGCCCTTTAGCGCCCCGTCAGGTGTAGTGTGCAGGCAGTTTTGTAAGTTGTGTATTTTCTCTCCTTGTAACTGTGACTCCACCTCTGAGACACTGAATTTCTGGTTCCTTCTCTCTCTCACCGGCTGTTCCATTCTTTGCAGATATGGATGCAGGTAACTACCGTCTCCTCCATGGCAGCTTGTCTTGTGGGGAGCGCGAGGAGAGCCCGACTGTGCTGTAGCGTTCCCTCCCTCCTCGTCCTGTGTTCCATCCTGTTTCGTTTCATTTCACCTTTTTTTTAGTTCGGCATTCCACCCTGTTCTGTCCCCTAGCTGTGTTTTGAGCAGTAGTTGTCAGTAGCGTCACGTGTCCCCTGTAACACCTGTGCTGGCCTTAACTCTCCTCCCGGGGCCTGTGGAACCTTCAGGGCCAGACTCCCCTGGGGCTTCGCCTGGGTCTCCGCGGCCTGGGGCAGGACTTGGTGGTGCTGTGACACCTCTTGGTGGTCCTCGGGAAGGCCGCCCTGAAAACCTCCCTGCTAGACGGTGATCTGGGACGGTCAGAGGCTCAGAGAGGGCTTGTGCTCTGGGGCACAGGGGGAAAGACTGGTGGCCCAGGAGAGAGAGCAGGTGCTTGAACACGCATGGCCCAGACAGTAGGAAGGGGGTGCTCCCACTGGTGTCTTCCTCCTTCCCGAGTGCCCCTGGGGCCCAGGGTTTGACTTGTCCCTTTGAGTCTAGGGTGAGCGGTAGCCATAGCCGGGTAGCTTATCCAGAGGAGAGTTGTGTAGAGTTTGTGTCTTGGCTTTCCACTTCTTGGCCTTGCGGTTGTAGCGCTAATGGCATCAGGTGCTGAGGGTCTGTGGCTGGCTTGACTGGGGAAGCGGGGTGCACCTTTTCCAGGGAATCTGCCTCCAGCACCCCTCGCTCTCCATTCCAGTCTGGGGTGGCTGGAAGTCCTGGGTCCAGCCCCGGTCGTGTTGATCGATCGCACCCTGGCCTTGCTCAGATGTCCGCAGGCAGTTGCGAGCTCTACAGAGGGACAGCCAGGGCCTCAGCGCTCTCGGGAGCCCGCCTGCCCGGCTTTGGTCCTGGTCATGCTCTGTGCCTTTCCTTGGGGGTGCTTGCTTTGTCCTGACATTCCGGTGCTCAGCTGTGATCTGTTTTGTGCACTGCATAACAGGCCCTTGTATTTTGATAAACAGGAGACTTTTCTTTTGAATGTTTGTGCATCAGAAGTGAAAGCTGTCCCCAGCCTGGTGGCCTTACTGTGGTCACTAACAGCCCCACTCATTGGTTTTCTGGGTAGCACTTGCCGCTGCACTGGAATTCCATCGTGGCGCCTGGGCTTCTAGTCACAGGTTATTTTAAAGGGTAGGAACACGTGAGGGGACATCCCTTTCTTCATCAGGGGCCCGTGCCAAGGGCTCCTGGATCCAGGGAGAGGTGGTCTGTGATCTCTGCTCACGGCTAGGTGCTCACCGGGGCCACCTCTTTGCTTGCCTTTTGACCTGCATTCGCCGTGTTCTGTGGGAGCTGGGAGCAGCGCCATGCCCAGGTGCACCCCCATAGGGAGGCACAGGGCCTCCGGATGCTGAAAGAACTCTGATGCCAGGCAGCCCCTCAGCCCTGGTGTTTCCCCAGAGCTGGGCACACACTGCTGTCTGGAACCAGGCAGCAGCTACTATCTTGGCCTCTCCTAGTGGACTAGGGCACTGACTTCCACTTCCTGTCTCTGTGGCCTAGGAGGAGTGGCAGCGGGGAGAGGAAATGAGTGAGATCAACTGTGATTTCCCTCATGCCAGTTTTGCCATACCCTCTACATTGGCAGGGAGCCTGAAGTGGTATCAGTTCTTATCCAGTGAGTTAATGTCAGTCGGTTGTCTGTCAGTCGGTTGTCTGTGCTTGCTTAAATTAAGAAACTGCATAGACAGGATGTTCTGGATTGGGTATATGGTTTACTGTGTTGTCACCTTGTCACCTTGGTGTGTGGAGGGTCCTAGGGTGATGTGAGTCATTTTGGCATGTGCAGGAACTAAGCAAACTATTACATAACCCCATGGTGGGCATGGTCTGTGCCTGCTGAGGCAGTGGGTTTGGACCAAATTGTATGACCTTTCCATTTCTTGGTGTTACTGTTGTCTTCTGAGTTTTCCTCTGTGTTGGTCCATTTTTCCTTGCTGTAACAAAATACTTGTGGCTGGGTACTTTACAAAGAAAAAAGATTTTTAAATTCATTGTTGGGGAGCTCAAAGTCTTAGATCAGATGGCCCCATTTATTTGGCCTCATTGGTTGATGGCATCATGGAGGGAGCACGTGGGAGAGGGATAACATAGTGAGGCAGGAAGATGGAGAGGCCAGGGCCGAGTGTTGCTCTTTCCTAATGGCCCTGTCTTGAGATCCACATTATCCCTGCCAAGGGCAGCAGGCTGTGCCTCCAGGGACTGGTTACCTGGTGCTGAGCCCAGCTCTCAAAGGTCTCCCCACTTCCCAGCAGCACCGCGCTGGGGAGCCAGCTTCCTACATGCCAGTCATTTGGGGACACACTCAGACCACGTTCAGGACACCCAGCCACTTAGCTCTTGTGAGTCTGGAGCAGTCAGCTGCATGGCTGCTCCGGCCGGGGGTGCTGCGTGGGGTGTGGGTGAGCTGCCATCCCCGCCGCTCGTGGGGTTCTCCGCCCTTCCTGCTGGCCCACGGTGGCTCCTCTGAGGTAAAGAACACGCTGCTGTCTTTGCGGGGATTCTGACCTGCGCCTGGGATGTTGAGATTGCTGGAGAGGTGAGTGGTGGGACATGGCAGTTGCAGAAGAGAGCTTTCTGGGTAGGAGTGTGACTGGGCAGAATCATGTCCGGGGCCCAGAGTGCCTTCCATCCGGTCCATCTCTGCTGGATTCCAGAGGTGACATCATCTGGACTTACAAGGTTTAGTAACTTTAGAGACACAGTCCGAACGAGGGAGGGTATGGGATATCACACTTAATAGCAGTTCTGCCTGTGACGAGTGCAACAGTGGGGGTTTCGTGGGGAGTCTGCGACTCCCAGACAGGAGCTTGGAGGGAGCAGCCTCTGTGGGGGCACAGTTCTTGGTGTGTCCGAGTGTGTTTAAGTGCTCGGGGCCTCTGTGGCAGGCCACATGCTATGGGGTGAAGAGCAGAGGTGTATCCTCCGTCAGTTCTGCAGGCCGGAAATCCAGAATCACTGTTTTGACAGGTTGTTCCCTGAGACTGTCCAGGCCCCTCCCAGCTGCCGAAGACCATCACCCCGTGGGCTCCTGGGCTGGTAGACACGCCCAGCCCTGCCTGTCGGACAGCGCTGCCTTCCTGGGAGGCAGTGGTCCGCCACACACCCTGTTCCAGTGTGATCTCGCACCTTAGGCTGCAAAGACTGATTCCAGTGCTCCACACAGGGTCTGAGAGGGCCCGTCACGCCCACCTGTTGGCTGCAGGAGCCCCGCTCAGAGCTGCTGAGGCCGGGCCCTTCCCTTCCGTTCTTGCTGGCCATAGAAGCTTGAGGAGGACCAGGACAGGAATTGGTTTGCCTGTGACCTTCACACCCCTGGGGGGCATTTCACAGTGCCAGGAAGAGATGCACGGAGCCCAGTGGAAGCCCTGGGAAACGCAGTGGCATCAGGAAAACAGAAGGTCGCGGTGTTTGTGCTGGCAACATCCTTAGGACTCAGCGCCAATTCTGCTGGCACCCAGGTGCCCAGGTGGGGCTGGGGAAGAAGTGCCTGCAACCCTGGAGCACGGGATAGTCTCCTACATGCGAGAGGCCTACATGCCCGGTCCCAGACGCTGAGCTCTACCAGACCCGTGTCTGCGTTGTTCCTGCCGTGCCTGGAGGCGTTTCCAACTGGTGGCTGTGCTTTGAAGTCCTGGTTGAAGCCTTGGGTCAGAGACTGGAGTCCAGGTGACAGGACAGGGTGAAGGTATCAGTGGCCTCTAAGGAAGAGGTCTGTTGGGGGGTGACTTGGCCAGAGACTCGGAATCGCTGCCAGACACCCTTTGGGAGACCTGATCTGGCCTCAATAAAGCCTGTTGCAGTCATAAATAATCAGAATTTTTTCTGGAATGAAGCTGTGCTCTTTGCTAGTGCCGCCTTTTCATGCAAATCTAGAATGAACCCACCTCTGGATGCGAAGGTGGCTTAAAGGTGGTGGGAGGAGGACAGGGCCTGCCAGCCCCTGTGAGGGGACGGGGCGAGGCCCAGTGGTGACCTCGCCTGCTGTGGTTGCCCACAGGGATTGGCTGAAGGGCTGTCGCCAGGCAGGGCATGGGAGCAGCTGGCCCTCTTCCTGGGTCCTCAGGAGTCAGTGTATCGGGGACCCATTTCTTCGGTCACTGAAGCTTTAGTTTCTTGTTAGCTGTTAACCAGCTCAAATTCTGGGCTGTTGAAGTCTTGGCACCCCAGAATCTGTGTGGGCCCGCAGCGGCCTGGCCCTTCCCTCCAGGGCAGTGGCTCAGGCTCTGTCTCTGCTGTCCTGATTGTCCCAGCAGTGACTGCACAGGACGCCCCCCGGCCCTGCATCTGTGCAGCAGCAGCCTGGGTCCCTGGACCCGCTCCTCCCCTCCCCCAGTGGAGAACAGTGGCTCTCCCTGGGAAGCTGGCCCTGCCTGCGTCCAGCTGAGGGAGTTGGAGGAATCCAGGGACTGGATTAGGGCAGATCTCCCAGTCGGGGACTCTCCAGAGCTGGGCACAGATGACAGTGTCCCCCAGGTGGAGAAGGGGCCTGGTGTTTTCCTGTGTAAGGGGAAGAGTCTGAAATGACGAGGGAGATGGAAAACCCCGAATGTCCTCCAGGTGGGAGAAGCTTGGGAGAAAACGAAAGATGTGGGTACACCCGGAGGTAAGGACCAGCTCAGAACAGACGTCCTGGTGCCCTCGGGGCTTGGTGGCAGGACTCCCTCGGGTACCCAAGTCTGGGCACTCCAGGCCCCAAGGGAGGACGGCCTGGGCTTTGCATGCTGTGTGAACCCTTGTCATTCTGTGTTTTGAGGGAGCAGTGACAGAAGAGGAGTCCGTGTGTTCAGTGCAGACGGGGTTCTTGTTTTTTTGAATAGACTTTTTAAAAATATTCCCCGACCTGGCTGGTGGAGCTCATGGAGCTGGGCACAGGGGTGGGCTGCATGAGAGAAAGCCCCGAGACGGAGTAGGGACCCGTGCGGCTCAGG